CCTCCAAGGATGAAGATTGTGTCAGCTCCAAGACCAGTCCAGTCCCAAAAACCTCCATGGGTGGAGATTGGGTCAACTCTGAGACCAACCCAGTTCCAAAAACCTCCAAGGATGGAAAATGCATCTTCTAGGAACTGACCCTAAACCTGCTTTGTTGGGGTTCCCTGGTGGAAAGGGATCCAGCTCCAGCATCACTTGAGGGTCCCAAAACGTGGCAAAACATCCCCACATCTCCGGTCAGTGGTGGTGGGAGACGTGGCGGGTCTGGGGAGGGACCACCCCCAAACCCCAGCTCTGGAATCATCATGTCCCACCCCCCTCCACCTCCCAGGTCCCCACCTTGGCCCCTTACCCTGGCCATGGGCATCTTGTTGGCCTCCACGTAGAAGTGGGGGGTCCGCACCTCGTACAGGGCTCCATAGTCCAGCTCCTGCCGGGAGAAATTCCCGAGGGAGTCACCCGGGTGTGGGCAGGGGCTACAGGGGCGTGTGGTTGGATACGAGGGGGTTGGGGGGGGACCTAAAATCCCTTTGCGACTCACGGAATGAATCGAGTTGGAAAAGACCCCTGAGATCATTGGGAGACCCAACCCCACCTTGGCACCCAGCCCGTGGCACCGGGTGCCACGTCCAGACTCTGCTTCAACACCCCCAGGGACTGGGACTTCACTCCCTCCCTGGGCAGCCCATCCCAAGGTCTGATCCCTCTCCCTGTAAAGAACTTCTTCCCCATGTCCAACCTAAACTTGTTGGAAGGGAGTTTTGGGGGGTGAGCGGAACGAGCTCGGCCGGTTCTGCTTGGGCTTCCCCCGGAATTCTGGAGGGTGGTGGAGCCAGGCACAGGGGCACTGAACCTTCCCCCCCAGGAGCACTCACGGTGGTGCCCATCTTCTCCAGGGTCTCCTCGTTGATGGGGTAGCGCAGCTTCATCTTGCGGTACAGCGGGTGCTTCTCGTAGTAGCTGATGAGGTCCACCAGGCTCTCGAACTCGGCCGAGCTGCCCAGCATGAAGAGCCTCCCCTCCTGCTGGATCCGGCAGTGCTTGATCTTCCCCTCCGCCCTGGAGCCGGGACACGCGGTGGGGGACGTGTGAGGGCTGGATCCCGGCTCCACCACAGGGGCGGGTGGGCGGTGACGCCACTGAGGCGACCGCCCTGAGGACGTCCCCGTGGGGAGGTCTTCATGTGAACTGAGGTCTCAATGGACCCAAGCCCTCGGCCGAGCCCAGAAGGCTTGGTGGTGGCCGCGCTCACCGGAAGGAGATGGCGTAGGAGTTGGGCTCGCCGCGCTTGCGCACCAGGAAGGCTCCGTCGCGCGGCACCCGCATCAGCATGTGCTCGGCCTGCAGGCGCGTCAGGCTGGCGTGGTACCACCTGGCCGGGCAGAAGGCGGGCACGGGGGGCTGCCACCAGCGTCCCCACGCCCCGGAGGGCACCCGGCGCCGGAGGGGGGGGCCGAGGGAAGCGGGGACTGGGTGGGGCCGCTCCTCACTCTTTGCTCTCGTGGGCGTTGGGCTGCGGGACGGGGTCGGTGAGGCGCATCTCGAACTCGTTGCAGCGCAGCGGCACCTCCCGGTAGTGGCAGATGAGGCTGTAGAGGCTGTCGAAGACCAGGTTGTCCGTCAGGTAGAACTTGGTGGCCCCGGCCTCCTGCCGCGAGTGGATCCGGCAGTGCTGCACCCGGCTGGACCTCCTGGCGCGGCGGGGGGAGAAAGGCAGGTCAAAGAAAGGTGGTGTTTCCCCCCCACCCCGGAAAAGCCATTCCAGCCACCAAACCGGGTGTCGACTGGAAGGTTATCCAGGCAGGATGGCCAGAGCGGCTTGGGAACGGCGGGATCCCGCCTCTCCGGAGCTCCTACCAGAAGGAGAGGGTGTAGTCGCCCACGAAGGTCTCGCTCTCGCGCACCAGGAAGGTGCCGTCCTTGCCGCCCGTCTCGGTGCAATACTCGTGCAGCAGCTTCTCCGCGATCTGCCGCCCGTCCCGGCCCCCGCCCAGCTTCCCGTGGAACCACTTCTCCGTGAAGTGCAGCTCGTTGTTGTTGAACTCCTGCGGGGTCACCCCCCACCCCGAAACAGGTTTTGTGCCACCCTCTGCCTCCCCCACACCCCCGTGGAGTTCTCCCCTCGCCCCTCACGCACCTCCTTCTGCTCCACCTCCTCCTCGTCCTCGTTGAACTGGTAGCGGGAGGTCTCCTCCGAGTAGTAGATCTTGTTGCTCGTCAGGACGAAATAATGAGGGCTCCAGGTCTGGGGAAGGAGGAAGAGCATTCCCGGGGTGAGGAGAAGGATCGTGTGGAAGGATGGAGCTTTGACACGAGGTCTCTGCTCCCTCCCGCTCCCCAGGTCTGGGAGAGCACATTCCATGCCCATCCCAAACCCAAACGCTCCTCCCCGTCCGACAGGCCCTGCTCAGCTCCTCCCTTACATGGTCAATGGGGTCTTCGAGGTAGAGGATCCCGTTCTTGATGGAGTTGCTGATGTCGTTCTCCGAGTAGCTGGCGGTGGAGACCTCCTCGTACAGGTTCCCTTCGACCAGCTTCTTGTGCTGGGGAGCGCCCAGGGGGTGGGACACGGCGGCCACGGCACACCGAGCTCCCAACCCTCGGGATCAAACTCCCACAGGTCCCTTCCCACCAACCCCCCCGTTCCCCTCGGCCACCTCTTGGTGCAGAACATCGGAGAGGTGTCTGGAGGGATATCATGGAGGGATATCACTCTTGAATCCCAAGATTTGGGAGAATGCCCACCCCCTCCCAGCCCGACGCCGCTCACATCCCTCCTGCCGAGAGGGATGGGATTTTGGGGTGTACCTTGATCAGGATCTTCTTCTTGAGCTGGGTGGGCGAGGGCAGCTCGTCGGCGTTGATGTCCACGGGCTTGGTGAGGAGCATGTCCCCGAAGACCTTCTTGAAGTGGGAGGCCATGTTCCGCTGCTGGACGATGCTGCAGTGGTCCTCGATGGACAGGATGATGGGGAACCTGCAGGAGGTGGGCGGGAATGGTGGGAATGGTGGGAATGGTGGGATTTGGGAGCCGTGGGAGGAGCCGGGGCTTACTCAGAGGTGACGAAGGCATGTTCCTTGATGGTGTGCAGCACGTCCAGGAACTTGATCTTGGAGGTGAGCGTGTGGCCGTGGTAGATGATGGGGAGATCATCCGGGCCGTCCCAGCAGTCCACTGGGTGGGAAGACACCCGGGTTAACACCCCAGCACTGGGGAGCAGGGCTGGGATCCCCCAAAGGACACGGAAGACCCCCCGCTCCAGTGCCGTGGGATGGGAGCAGGAAGTGGTCAGGGATGTGACAGGAGGTCTTGAGGGTGGTTCCAGCATCCCTAGAAGGTGCTGGGGTGGAATTCCAGCATCCCTGTGAGGTGCTGGGGTGGAATTCCAGCATTCCTGGGAAGTGCTGGGGGGGGTTCCAGCGACCCTGTGAGGTGTTGGGGGGGTTCCAGCATTCCTGGGAAGTGCTGGGGTGGAATTCCAGCATTCCTGTGAGGTGCTGGGGGGGTTCCAGCATTCCTGGGAAGTGCTGGGGTGGAATTCCAGCATCCCTGTGAGGTGCTGGGGTGGAATTCCAGCATCCCTGTGAGGTGCTGGGGTGGAATTCCAGCATCCCTGTGAGGTGCTGGGGTGGAATTCCAGCATTCCTGTGAGGTGCTGGGGGGGTTCCAGCATTCCTGGGAAGTGCTGGGGTGGAATTCCAGCATTCCTGTGAGGTGCTTGTGTGGAATTCCAGCATCCCTGTGAGGTGCTGGAGTGGAATTCCAGTATTCCTGTGAGGTGCTGGGGTGGAATTCCAGCATTCCTGGGAAGCGCTGGGGTGGAATTCCAGCATTCCTGGTGAGGTGCTTGTGTGGAATTCCAGCATCCCTGTGAGGTGCTGGGGGGGCTCCAGCGTCCCTGTGAGGTGCTGGGGGTTTCCAGCATCACTGGGAAATGCTGGAGTGGAATTTCAGTATCCCTGAGAGGTCCTGGGGGGGCTCCAGCATCCCTAGGAAGTGCTGGGGTGGAATTCCAGCATCCCTGTGAGGTGCTGGGGTGGAATTCCAGCATCCCTGTGAGGCGCTGGGGAGGTTACAGCAGCCCTGGGAAGTGCTGAGGTGGAATTCCAGCATCCCTGTGAGGTGCTGGGGTGGAATTCCAGTATCCCTGTGAGGTGCTGG